TCTCCCCCGAGGAGCGTTAAAAACGCTTGACAGATTCCTGCTGACCTAAAAACTGCTGACACAGGAAGTGGCTTAGCGAAGGTGCAGATGTAGAGCGCTGTGGTGACGGATGTGACTGAGCTACTGAACACACGGGGTCAGTGTGATGATCTTATTAGCGCCGTTTGCTCAACAGACGTGAGTGATTCCTCGAATAACGCAGCCTGCTGAGAAGTTAGTCCAGTTAGGCTTAACAGTTTCAGCACACACACATTAGCCATGTTTGCATGCAACTGAGTAATCTGTTTGACGGCTCAGTCAGATTGAAAAGCCTTCACGTAAACGCCTCAACATATCCGATTGAGCTTGATCCAAATAAAATTTCAAATGGATTGGAAGTGGTCAATAGGAATCCAATTAATAGGAAAAAACGGAGCAAGAAAATGGTTGAATCTCACTATTTTCTCAATCGGATTCAGAAATGCCTTCAGCAAACGTTCAGTGCAGTTATACTTATGTTTACATACAATTACTTCATATTACCACGCATGTTCATTTCCGTCTTATGAACTGTTCGTCGTAAGTGCGTTGCTGGGGTGATCTAATTGTTTGATAGCACGTTGCTATGCGGTTGATGGGGTGCTCTGAGCGTTTGATAGCACGTTGCTATGCAGTTGCTGTGGTGATCTGCATGGTTGATGGTGTGTTGCTATGCGGTTGCTGGGGTGATTTGAGTGGTTGATGGTGTGTTGCTATGTGGTTGCTGGGGTGATCTGAGTGCTTGATAACACATTGCTATGTGGTTGCTGGGGTGATCCGAGTGCTTGATAACACATTGCTATGTGGTTGCTGGAGTGATTTGAGTGCTTGATAACACATTGCTATGTGGTTACTGGGGTGATTTGAGTAGTTGATGGTGCGTTGCTATGCGGTTTCTGGGCTTATCTAAGTGCTTGATAGTGTGCTGCTATGTAGTTGCTTGGATGATCTAAGTGCGTTGCTATGCAGTTGCTAAAGGGATCTGAGTGGTTGATAGTGTGTTGCTATATGGTTGCTGGGTGATCTGAGTGCTTGATAACATGTTGCTATGCAGTTGCTGGGTTGATCTGAGTGCTTGATAGTGCGTTGCTATGCGGTTGCTGGGGTGATTTGAGTTGTTAACAGTGCGTTGCTATGCGGTTGCTGGGTTGATCTGAGTGCTTGATAGTGCGTTGCTATGCGGTTGCTGGGGTGATTTGAGTTGTTAACAGTGCGTTGCTATGCGGTTGCTGGGGTGATTTGAGTTGTTAAAGGGTTAGTTCACCCAAAAATTCTGTCATTAATTATTGTAGAACCACTGTAGTCACGTCGACTGTTTTAACGACGTCTTTAGTACCTTTATGGATCTTGAGAGTTTGGGTGGCGTTGCTGTCAGTGGAGGCCTCTCTGAGCCATCGGATTTGATCAAAAATATCTTAATTTGTGTTCTGAAGATGAACGAAGGTCGTAGGGGTGTGGAACGACATGAGGGTGAGTAATTAATGACATAATTTTCATTTTTGGGTGAACTAACCCTTTAATAGTGCATTACTATGCAGTTGCTGGGATGGTCTAAGTGCGTTGCTATGCGGTTACTGAGGGGATTGGAGTGGTTGATGGTGCATTGCTATGCAGTTGCTGGGATGATGTGAGTGGTTAATGATCAGTACTGGTCAGTGGAGGACATTGAATATGTATTAAATATTTGTTGCAAAAGCTCTTCTGACATATCAGTTTTTTTAGATGTGTCATCAAGGCAAAAACTGCACTTATATTCACAGTCGCTCCAGCTAAGTTATCGCGCAGACGTTTTGTTTGGAATTTAAGAACTGCACATGTAAACAAATACATTAATCGGATTTCAAAGTTAGGATTCATATAAACAGAACTTTCATAATCTCAAAACGGATTGAAAATTAGTGCATGTAAACATAGCTATTGTGCATTATGAGTGTGTTTGGTAGGGGTTTTTCAATCGTCATGAGATATTTTGAAGTTATGCTCATTGTAGAAAATAGAAGCGTCTCTCTCTTCGTTCAATAGCCTCTGTTCATTGTGGCTGGCGCTTGTAGGCGGTTTGCATTCAGGGAGAAATATTTGTGTGAGATGTTGAGCAGTTTGTGTGTGTTTCTGTGCGTGTGTGTGTGTGTGTGTGTGTGTGTTTATGTGAATGCCAGTCCATTGGTCTTTCACACAGGGTCTTTGTGCTGCAGAAAAAGGCAGAACAGAGCTACTGTAACCTCTTAGTCATGATACACAGAAGGGTCACACACACTTGGATGGTCCTATAACCAACATTTTTCTTTGTGCCATGAAAACGTCCAAAATTAACTTAAACGTCTTCTCTTCGCACAGTAGGGCATCATAACAAGTACACTGCTCTGAAATATTCCAACGATTTAAAACGCCCAAGAGAACATCACCCCAATCACCTCATAAACACTGCTAGCATCATAAATCTCAAATGCTAACATAAAAATCCCTTTCCGCTACTAAGAGAAGGTCTCACATGCTCATAGACGCACAACACAATGAAAAACTGTGGGATTTTAGACTTCTAAAGTTACCACTTGTGCCAAATAGTTCTGAACGTTTGCAATGGGAATTCTGTGTGTTGCTATGTGGTTGCTAGGGTAATATGAGTAGTGGATAGGGCATTGCTATGCAGTTGCTGGGGTGATTAAGGGGTTGACAGTGTGTTGCTATGCAGTTGCTGGGGGATCTGAGCGCTTGACAGCGTGCTGCTATGCGGTTGCTGGGGTGATCTGAGCATTTGATAACATGTTGCTATGCAGTTGCTGGGGTGATCTTAGCATTTGATAGCACGTTGCTATGCGGTTTCTGGGTGCTCTGAGTGTTTGATAGCATGTTGCTATGCGGTTGCTGGAGTGATCTGAGTGTTTGATAGTGCATTGCTATGCAGTTGCTAAGGGGATCTTAGTGGTTGATAATGCATTGCTATGAGGTTGCTGGGGTGATCTGAGTGGTTGATAGTGAAATGCTATGAAGTTGCTGGGGAGATCTGAGCGGTTGATGAAAAGTACTGGTCAGTGAAAGATACTGAATATGTATTAAATATTTGTTATAAAAGCTCTTGTGACAGACATATCAGCTTTTTTAGATGTGTCATCGGCAAAAACTACACTTATACTTCTTGGTGGTTGCTAGGGTTTCTTTAACTGTACTGAGAGTGATAGAGAGAGAATAGCATGAAAGTGATTTGCATTTTTACGCATTTCCTGATGTAACAGCTTCAGTTCTTAAAAAAGTAAATGAAGTGGTTTTGGGTGGAGTCCATATGTCTGTCACATTCAAAGTCCCACCCACAACTGAGAGCTGGAATTTGAGTCACTTTGACTGGAAGGATGACACATTAACACACACACTCATATGTTCATCCTGTGTGATCTCAGCCACACAAACTCACTTTCAAGCTTTGCTGATGTGTGCTGGAAAGTCAAGAGTCCAAGCTGACACAGGACAAACCACCCTGATAACTAGCCTATAGCCACTAATGAATAATTAATTAGTCATTGTTGATTAAGCATTCATTGAAGTTTATGTGTTCATTTTGGTAATGGAAAAACCTACACAAACCAGTGAAACCTTTCCATAAGCTAATATCATAGAATTAAATTACAAACTCTAATAACTTTAAAAGGTTTTAGTACTCAGGTCAAAAATGCAGGGGGCAAAATTCATTACAATTATAAAAGGGTTTTATGAACACTCTTACAAACTTGCATTTTATCCTTATAATAATAATTCAATATGGATCCTTTTTTTTTTTAATGTTTCATTATTTTTAATATTATAAAATATTTACTTAAAAATACTAAGTATTATAAAATAATAATTTATTAATATATTGTTCATAGTTTTATTCATAGTTTTATTGATATATATAAATATTAGATAATAGAATAACTTATATAAGTGTGTAGGCTACCTTGGATAGATCTTAACTTTAAGAGGTTATTTAGAATGATTTATTTAGAATGTTGTTGTTGTTGTTTTTCAAAAATTTGAATTTGTTTTAAATTTTATAAAAATTCTTAGGAACAAAATATTTTTCTTAAGCTTAAAATTAATACGAAATTTAAAAAGTAGGAGGAATTTAATTCTTAAAAATTGTTTCATGAATCCAGTCTCAGGACTCCAACGTAAAGCCAACTGGACTTTACTGCACGGCTACTTACCAAATAAACAAATACAAATTAAATATTTGATATTATTTAAATATTTATCATATATATATTTGATATTATTATATATATATTTGATAAAAAATATTAAATATTTAAATAAATACACTATATTTCAAAATAGTTTTATTCATAGTTTTATTGATATATATAAATATTAGATAATAGAATAACTTATATAAGTGTGTAGGCTACCTTGGATAGATCTTAACTTTAAGAGGTTATTTAGAATGATTTATTTAGAATGTTGTTGTTGTTGTTTTTCAAAAATTTGAATTTGTTTTAAATTTTATAAAAATTCTTAGGAACAAAATATTTTTCTTAAGCTTAAAATTAATACGAAATTTAAAAAGTAGGAGGAATTTAATTCTTAAAAATTGTTTCATGAATCCAGTCTCAGGACTCCAACGTAAAGCCAACTGGACTTTACTGCACGGCTACTTACCAAATAAACAAATACAAATTAAATATTTGATATTATTTAAATATTTATCATATATATATTTGATATTATTATATATATATTTGATAAAAAATATTAAATATTTAAATAAATACACTATATTTCAAAATAGTGCAGAGTGATACGAGAGACATAACACTAAGAAATCAGTATCCTAAGACAATGATTAATTATGTAGTTTTGAGGTCATCATACAAAATATTTTAACACATGCAGAATGCCACATTAGACCAATCAGAATCAAGTATTCCAAAGAGTAATTTAAGAAATTGTATACTATAGTAATTGTATGTCCAGTCTAGTCGTTGAGGGATGCGTTCGCTATGACTACTCACACTGATGTGCATCTTCATCTCCAGGAGCTTCTGCAGGTACTCCTGCAACAGGGTGAGAGGCAGAGGGGCCGGAGGGTCCGGTTCCTCCAGGAACCAGCGGAGCGAACCCACCGACCGCCGTCTGTTCAAGTAATCATACAGCTCTTCATGCATCATCATGGGCTAACACACTAAAGTCAGCGAAATTATTACGAGAAACTAAAAAATAGGTAAAAATTACACTAAACGTCACACAAATGTCTAAAACGTTGAGATGAAGGGAAAGAAATGAGTTCCAGCTCTGAGCCACTGTGGAATGTGGCCGATTACCCATCATGCACTGGGAGATTAAGCGACGCAGTGAACTTTGCTTGATGCCGTTTTTGTTATTAAGCTGATTACCGGCTAGAATTCGGCTCAAAGAAACACACAAACATTGTGAAGTTGCATCAATAATGCACTTTCTTCCCCACACACCTTCAAAAACCCAATCCCCAGACTGATTTGTGCAACTCAAACACACTTCACTCATTGTTGAATTTCCAGCATTTATCCGTTTTGTTCTCCTGCCTAATGATCCTTTTTATTACGTTACATAAGACGAGTTCCGACTTCACCTCTGAGAATCTTAAAACTGAGATTTTCATAGGTAATGAAACCCAGAAATGAAACTATGAAGATGTTGTGGGTCATGGCGTGATATTACACACTACCGGACAAAAGTTTGGAATAATTACGATTTTTGAAGTCTCTTCTGCTCACCAAGGCTGCATTTATTTAATCAAATATACAGTAAAAGTGTAATATTATGAAATATTATTGCAATTTGAAAATTCCTGAAAATGCAAATTTTCATTCCTGTGATGCAAAACTGAATTTTTAGCATCATATGAAGCAGCACAACTGTTTTTAACATTGAAAACAATAAGAAACACTTCCTGAGCAGCATATCAGAATGATTTCTGAAGGATCATGTGACACTGAAGACTGGAAAAGAAAATTCAGCTTTGCATCACAGGAATAAATTACATTTTACGATATATTCAAATAGAAAACAGTTATATTATAAACTGTAATAATATTTCGCAATATTACTGTTTTTACTTGCCTTGGATGATAGACTTCTTTCAAAAATATTTTAAATATTTCCAAACTTTTGACCAAACACACTCCATTGGTTGGTCACTAAACATGTCGATAAAATATACAGTCTCTTCCTGTCTCAGTGGGCAGCTCTTGGCCAGAAAAAGCTTCAAATTGGCCTAGACTTGACTTTGACAGTGAAAAGTCTGGCTTGGCAGGACTAGAAGTGGCCAGACTTTATGGATGTGGTCTGTTGGCGTGCTGCTAGCTGGTATCTGTCCTGTCGTCTTCTGGAAATACATCTTTATAGAAGGTTGCCCAGCCTTCAGAAAATACAAACAAACAGACAGACAGCTGCTGGAGCACAGTGCACATTTATGTGTGTTTCTTTAACAGTGGCACGCTCAGGGAAAGCACAGCATGCTTGAATGTGTGTGTGCGAGTGTGTTTAATAGTGACAGGGAAAGTATACCGGGTATGTGAGGTATGTGTGCCAGCGGAAATCTGATACACCCACACACAGATCCATGTGCCAAATACACAGGCACTTCCTACATGTGTTCTGAACTATTAAAAGGTGAAGAATTTTAAGTCAAGGTTTGAAACTCATTTTACTTCCATAATATTACAGAATTCCAAGTGAAATGGGATGTTCAATGAGAATTCGTTTGAGAATTGATTGGAAGTGGCTCTATGTGAAAAGCAGTTTAGGGGGAGGGGCTAAAACATAAGAGGGCTCAATGATGTCAGCGGAAAAGTTAAGTTGTTAGTGATAGAAGATTCTGAAAACAAACCAGTGTTATTATTGTTTATGAAAACTAAAATTAGAACTAAATGAAAAAAAATTTCAATTATCTGAAAAAAACTCAAGTAACTAAAACTCCAAAACTAAATTCAACTGAAATAAAAATAGCCACAATTTATTTAAAAATATAAAAATGTCACAATTTAGCAATAACATTACTGTGCTGTGAGAAGCCGAATTTCAAATAAATATTTTCAAATGATACAATTTTGTGCACTAAAATATTAAAACCAAAATAAAAATGACATATACTGGAAGTAGAAAACTTACATAAAATAATAAAATAAAACTACCAATGATAAAGGAACTTCTAAACTGAAAAAATACACATTTAAAATATAATGTTAAAAAAAATTATTCTAATTTAATTACATAATTATTTTTGTAAAATAATTTTATTTTATATAATATTTTAGAAATATATATGATTAATTATATATATAAAACTAAATAATTATATTTCAAATATATAATATAAACAACAAGACCGTAAACGTGCACTGATAAAGTGAATAAGGTCAATTCTGATATTGACATCAAGTCAATTAAATAGTTTAAATTCATACACACAGATCCTGTGGTCGAAATTGCATCCTGTCAATGACAAACTAACAAACTGATATTGATCATTCACATTCATTTCACACACCCACACACACACACACACACACACACACACACAGAGTACTCAGATTATCACAAGCACTTAGATACACAAGATGGAAAGTAAACTCCTCTTCCGCTCAGGGTATAGATTGCTAGTAATCAGATTTAAAAACAAGTATACATTAAGAGAAGAGCAATGAATTCGTATTAATGCTGAATGGAAGACGTCCTGTCACTGTAAAATCACCAAATCACCCAGACCAGAGAGGGCGCTGTTTGCATCCTACTGAACGAAATGTGTTGATGATGCAGTGTTTCATTGAATTTAGTGCATGCCTAAAATACAAAGCAAATACTACAAACTCACTTTTATACAGAGGTCATTTACTTCCTCAGAGAATTTGTCTAAAGAACTAAAGTACTAATGATTTAGAATGACCAAAATGAAAAGAAAAAAAAAAGGAAAAGGGATACGCCAGACAGCAGGAAGAAAGTCGTGTAGGCTGAGGTCATCTATTGTTCAGCTGCTTTTAGTGAAGGGAAATTTTATGGTTTTTCACTGTGCAGAAATCACAGAGCCAAATCAATAAAGCTCCATCCACCACTCCACCTGCAGCTCACATCGCACACCACAATCACATCTGGCAACTCGCTCATCAAATAAGCAACATCTGGCAACCCTATTAACCCCACACACACCACAGCTGTGAATGTGAAAGAAACGTAAAAAGATTTGCCATGGTAACCATTGTTGCCGCCAAAATAACGGAAAGTTTAAGTAGAGTTACTCATGTAAAATCAAAACTAATTCATAAGGAAATGTTAAAAGCTTTAAGCATCTTTTAAAAAGCATATTTTCACAGTAACGATGATTCACCACGGTCTTAATTTGCAGAAACTATGGCTAGCAATTAGGGTTGGGTACCGTTCACATTTTAACCAGTACGGTACTGGTATCGGTACCTGAATTTCGGTGCCGGTACCCAACGATACCTTTTTTCGGTACTTTATTCTCTGTGTAATTACAAAAACATTTATTTCAGTGAAAAAATAAGTCCAAAAGTCTCAATTTCAACATTTTGAACAATAGGGCCCTACAAACTTTTTCTTTCTTCCTTTCTTTTTTCCCCCAGAAATTCTTGTTTTAATTTTTCTGAAAATCAAATGAAGGCATTAAACATTTATTTTAAATCAAATGAAAATTAAACCCTTTTATTTTTTGCCAAACAAACTGAGGTTTACTGTTGAAATTAATACATGGAAGAAAAATTGTGTGAATATTCCTTTAAAACATTTTTTAATAGTTTATTAAAAAACTATTATTTTTTAATATTAAAAAATACATTTTTTAATTGTATTATTTTTTTCTACAATTAAGTGATTAATCTGGTTGTAATATTTATTTTTATAATTTAATTGTTTTATTTAAATTTGATAGAAAATTGAATATTTAAAGATGTACATTATACTGTACAAATGTAATACAAGAGTAATATATTTCTGTTACATGTTAAACCGTACTTTTATTTTGACAGGTTGCCATGAAGTTTCTGCGTGCTTCAGTATTTGTGTAGTAAACAAAACCGCTTTTTATGAATGGACTCCGCGATCCCGTCCGCGTTTTCGCAGAAACCATATGGCCCTAGAAATGTAACCACACTTCAGAACATTTCGGCCTGCCCTGTGTGTTGCTTGAACGAGTTGCAGGGGTGACCTCACATCACAGGGTCTCTCTTTCTCTCTCTGTAGCGTATGCGCCCAGATGCGTTCTCAGATACCGAAATTTGGCACCGATTGATTTAACGTGAATCGGTACTCGGTAGTACCGACGCAATTCGGGTCGGTACCCTTAAAAGTACCGAGTTCGGTACCCAACCCTACTAGCAATGGTACGTTTTATTGTCGCTGTGACGAGAGGGGCGGGGCCGAGAGCCGTGGGAACGGAGCGAGGCCGAATGTTCGCCGGTTCCCGCCTCCTTCTTCCCGAACTACGAATGTTGTTACATCGGCCAACACTTTCTCTCTCACATTTAGAGAGTTTGCCTGTAAATCTACAACAGATTAAGACTGAAAGCCCATAAACCACTTGTCTTCTAGTTCTTTCTCTGCCTAATAAACTGAAATGGGCACTTGTAACTGCTTCCTGTTTCTGCCTCTCACTTCCCCTCCCACAACGACACAATCTCTGCCTTGCATTTGACCACAAAATTAAAATTAAACCACTAAGAATCATTCTGAATATTGAAATAAGTTAAAACTTATAATAGTATTACTATATATGTCACAGTGCACAGTAATTTTGTAAATACCATATTTTGTGTCAGTTAAGTTTGACTAAAATCATTACTTGCGCTGTTTTTATTGGCGCTGCCAAAACAGCATGGTTGCCATGGCCATAAACGGAGCCTGGTTTGAGTGATACCATGGTGGCATGGCATGTTTTCCACAATAATGGACCGCTCTGTGATTGGATGAGAGCAGGGCAGGATGGAATGTCAGGTTATGAAAGAAGAAGTCATTGAGTCCATAACAAGGACAAACATGGAACTGAGAAATTAGAAGTTTTTCTCTAAAAAAAGGGTCAAATGTGCACGTGCAATGCATGCAAGTCACACTTTAATTTTTTATTTTTTTATTTTTTTATGCACTGGCAACCCTTATAAAAAATCACTATACTAATTGATACCAAAACAATTAAAAAAAATAAAAATTAATAAAAGCCACATAGACCT